TAAAAAGAATGTAGCAGAACTCATGGAACTGAAAGATTCATTCAATGAAATAAGAAACACAACCAAGGGCTTAAGCAGCAGGCTACAGCAAAAAGAAGAAAGAACTTCTCATCTCAAAGATGGTCTTTTTGAAATAACCTACACAAACCAAAAAAAAAAAAAAAAATTAATAAAATGAAGAAAATATAAGACAGCAAACAGACAACATTAAATCATGTGTGTTCCAGAAGGGGAGGAGAAACGAAAATGCATTGAAAACCTATTCAACAAAATAATAACAGAAAACTTTTCAGGTATAGGGAAAGACATGAACCTCCAGATCCAGGAGGCTCAAAGATCCCCAGATTCAATCCAAAAAGATCCTCTCCAAGACACATTATATTCATACTGGTACTCAAAGACAAAGAGAGGGGCTGGCCCGGTGGCGCACTGCGCTAGTGCGCCGCTTGGGAAGCGCGGCTGCGCTCCCGCCGAGGGTTCGGATCCCACATACAGACCGGTTCCCGCTCACTGGCTGAGCGAGGCGCGGGGGCAACGCCGAGGGTTGCGATCCCGTTGCCGGTCCCGGTCCGGTAGGGGGCGACACTGAGGGTTGCAATCCGTGGCTGGACATGGAAAAAGACAAAAAAAAAAAAAAGACAAAGAGAGACTCCTAAAAGAATCAGGAGAAAAGCATCAAGTCACCTATAAGGAAGCCATCATGAGACTAACAAGGGACTTCTCAACAGAATTTCTACAGGCCGAAGAAAATGGAATGATATATTCAAAATGCTAAAAGAAAAAAACTGCCAGCCAAGAACACTATATCTAGCAAGGCTATCTTTCAGAAATGAGGGGAAATAGTGTATTTTCCAGACAAACAAAAACTGCAGGAGTTCAGTACACAAGCAGTTGTGCAAGAAGTCCTCAAAGGAGTACTACATCTGGAATCTGAAAAACAACAATCACTACCATGAATACACAGGAAAGAATAAAACCCACTGGTAGAACAAAAATGCAAACAAGAAAGAGAAAGAAACGAAGTCATATCACCTCAAAAAACCAACAAACATCAAAGACAAACAATAAAAGGAGAAGAAAGAAATAAAAGATATTTAAAATATCCAAACAAAAACTGATAAAATGCCAGGAATAAGACAGTACCTTTCAGTAACAACCCTAAATGTAAATGGATTGAACTCCCCACTCAAAAGACATAGACTGACTAAGTGGATTAAAAAGCTAGACCCAGGGGCCTGCCCAGTGGCGCACTGCTACAGTGCGCCGCTTGGGAAGCGCGGCGGGACGCCGAGGGTTCAGATCCCACATACAGACCGGCCGCTCACTGGCTGAGCGAGGAGCTGGGGCGACACCGAGGGTTGCGATCCCGTTGCCGGTCCTGGTCCGGTACAGGCACGACACTGAGGGTTGCGATCCGTTGCCGGTCACGAAAAAAGACAAAAAGACAAAAAAAAAAAGCTAGACCCAACTATATGCAGTCTTCCAGAGATTCACCTCACTTGTAAAGACATACACACACTAACAATGAAGGGATGGAAAAAGATATACCACGTGAAAGGAAACCAAAACAAGCAGGAGTACCTATTCTTATATCAGATAAAATAGACTTTAAAACAAAAATCATAAAAAGTGACAAAGAAGGCCACTATACAATGATAACGGGATCCATCAGGCAAGAAGACATAACAATCATAGATATATATGCACCCAACACCAGAGCACACAGATATATAAAGCAAACACTATTAGGCCTACAGAAAGAGGTAAACCCCAACATGATAATAGGAGGGGAACTGAACAACCCTATCTCAGCACTGGACAGATCATCTAGGCAATGAATTAACAGAGAAACTCATGATTTCAACTATACTTCAGATCAATTACACTTGGCAGATATCTAAAGAACAGTTTATCCAACAATACAGAATATACATTCTTTTCATCACCACATGGAACATTCTCTAGTATAGACTACATGATACATCACAAACCAAGTCTCAACAAATTTTTAAAAACTGAAATCATTTCAAGTATCTTTTCAAACCACAATGAATTAAAACTGGAAATCAATGACAAGTGAAACACTGAATATGGAAATATATGGAAATTAAAGAACATGCTCCTGAACAACCTGTGGGTCCAAGAAGAAATTAAACAATATATGAAAAAATTTCTTGAAACTAACAAAAATAAAGGTACATCATACTAAAATCTGTGGGACACTGCAAAAGCAGTACTAAAAGGGAAGTTTAGGGCCGGCCCATGGCTCATTCAGTAGAGTGCGGTGCTGATAACACCAAGGCTGTGGGTTCAGATCCTATATAGGGATGGCCGGTTTGCTCACTGGCTGAGTGTGATGCTGACAACACCAAGCCAAGGGTTGAGATCCCCTTACCGGTCATCTTTTTTTTTAAAAAAAAAAAAAGGGAAGTTTATTGCAATAAACACTTACATGAAAAGAATGGAAAGATTAAAAACAAAACTAAACTAAAACTACACCTCAAAGAACTCTAAAACAAGAATAATCCACTCGCAAAAATAGTAGACAGAAAGAAATAATTAAAATCAGAGCAGAACTAAGTAAAATAGAGATCCCAAAAATGATACAAAAGATCAATGAAACAAAAAGTTGGGTTTTTGAGAAGATAAACACAATAGACAAGCATTTAGCTAGGCTAAAAAAAGAGAGACAACCCAAATAACAAAAATCAAAATGAAAAAGGAGACATTACAACCAATACTGCAGAAATACAAAGAATCATTAGAGACTACTATAAATACCTATATGCCAACAAATTTGAAAACGTGGAGGAAATGGATAAATTTTTGGATACATACAAACTACCACAATTAAACCAAGAAGAAATAAAAAACCTGAACAAACTAATAACAAGCAATGAGATTGAAGCAGTAATCAACAGTCTCCCAACAAAGAAAAGGCCAGTACCGGATGACTTTCCTGCTGAATTCTACCAAACCTTTAAGGAGGAATTAATATCAATTCTCTTCAAACTTCAAAAAAATTGAAAGAAAGGCCATTTTCCCAAATTCATTCTATGAGGCTAACATCATCTTGATATCGAAACAAGACAGACACAATAAAAAAAGAACACAGGCCAATATCCTTGAACACAGATGCAAAAATCCTCAACAAAATATTAGCAATCACAATACAGCAACACATCAAAAAAATTATACACCAATATAATCAAGTAGGATTGATCCCAGGGATGAGGGGATGTTTCAACATATGCAAGTCAATAAATGTGATACACCACATCAAAAAAATCAAGGATAAAAACCATATGATTATCTGAATAGAGGCAGAAAAAGCATTTGACAAAATTCAACATCCCTTCATGATAAAGACTCTCCACCAATTAGGTATAGAAGGAAATTATCTCAACACAATAAAAACCACATACAACAAACCCACTGCCAATATCATCCTGAACAAGGAAAAGCAATTTTCCCACCATTCCTATTTAACATAGTATTGGAAGTACTAGCCAGAGCAATCAAGCAAGAGAAAGAATAAATGGCACCCAAATTAGAAAAGACAAAATCAAACTGTCTCTGTTTACAAATGACATGATCCCACATACAGAAAAACCTGAAGACTCTGCCAAAAAGCTCTTCAAGGCAATAAACAATTTTAGTAAAGTTGCAGGATACACACAAAACTCAGTAGCATTTTTATACTTCAATAATGAACTAGCAGAAAAAGAAAGCAAGAAAGCAAGCCCATTTAAAATAGTCCCCAAAAAATAAAATACCTAGGAATCGATTTAACTAAGGGAGTTAAAGATCTCTACAACAAGAACTGCAAATCACTGCTGAAAGATATAAAAGAGGACACAAAAAGACACTTGTTTACAGTATGACAGCTGAACCAAAAAGGCAGAGCATTGCCCTGTCCCCCTCAGCAGGGAAAGTGTGCTTGGAAAGACTCAAATTTTTTGCTGCTCTGCAAATGTCCACAGAAGCCCCAGAGGTACTGATTTTGAGATCCTGAATAAATTCTAATAAGTGGGCAATTCACAAATATGGGATCCATGAATAATGAGGATTGACTGTATTTGGGGAGTTCACATGACAAGTTAGGTTGTTCTAAAAGTCACTTGCTCAGTATACTACCCAGCTTTTCGTACCCAATATCCCACCTATTTTCCCATTAACACTTTCCCTTTTCTCCTGGATTTCATAATTTCTCTTCAGTAGCCGAACAACTGTATCCCTGTTTTGTTTTGGTAAATCTAGTGTAATATTGGAGTCAATTATGTCCTACAGAAGAAAGATAAAGTGACAGGTAATGTTCTTCTTAAGGTTCTTTAATTATGGAAAGGCTCATAACAGTTTAGTCACATACAGAATGATATAACAGATTAGAAATAATGTTTGCTGCCATCTTGACAATTAATTCAAACAAGCCTCTTCCTCACTGCTTAAGACAAAACTTTTGTTTGGATTGCTGGTAATATTATCACTACTTGCTGCTACAAAGTAATAAAATGAAAAGGTGTTTTCAGCACCAACACCAATTTAAAGAGAAAAAAGATGGTATATGAAGTTCCCATTTCCAAAGTGTAAGAGTGCTTCCCAACTCTCAGCACTGCTGTTTGATCTGAGACCAGTCACCTAAACAGAATTAATATTCATGAAAATTAATTAGCACTAAAGAGTAGTCTATACTAGGAAATTAAAAATCATCTTCTAGCTAATATAATAAGTTGTCTTGGTTTACATAACACTGAATCATTTCATTGTAGATAATACAAAACAAAATCCTAATTCTACATTAGTACAAAATCAATAGTTGATGACATAAAAATTATAACTTTAGTCACTATAAATATTAAGTGAATCCAAAAGGATGACATTAGTACATTGAATAATAAAGAAATACAGCATGATGAGAAACAGGTTGCCAAAGACTAGTCAAGCTTCAAGTAGACACTGTTCTTCAGCAATGCTATTGCAATTAAATTCAGCTCACTTACCTACTGTATCTACTCCTTTCCTGCCAGCACGACCAACCATCTGCTTGTAAGTAAGGATATCTAGAGGTCGACCACTGAAAATAGGAGTCCGAATAATCACACGACGTGCAGGTAAATTCACCCCAGAAGAAAGGGTAGAAGTTGCTGCCAAAACCCGAATGAGACCTTGGCGGAAGGCTCCTTCAATGATATCCCTCTCCTCAAAAGTAAGACCTAAAAAAAAAGGAGGTTCCAATAACATATATTTATTAACATAAACTGAAAATATTATACTCAATCACTTACAAATGGATCTGAGAATCTGCCACAAGCCTCTAAAGATTTTTTTAAGTTATCCTTACAACTGTAAACATAAAAGTCAACACAGTCTATCTACTTAAAATAATAATCTAACGCACCTAGTATACTTCTATCTCATCTTCTACACCAGAGGTCAGCAAACTTTTCCTGTAAATATTTTAGGTTTTGTGGGAACAGATGGTCTCTGTTGCAACTATTTAACCCTACTACTGTGACATGAGAGCAGCAGCAGAACACATGTGCATGACTATGTTTCAATAAAACTTTACTTATAAAAACAGATTTTAGGCTAGATTTGACCAGAAGACTGTAGTTTGCCGATCTCTGCTCTAGATAATGAATTCCTTGAGGGTAGGGACATGCCTTATTCATGCTGTATTCTTAGGGCCTATCCATCACAGTATTCAGGCATATTTTTGACATAAATATATGTGTGATTAATAAATACATGACTAAATGAAAAACAGCATATAGAATATATACTTATCTGGCTTAATTTTAATTTTATTTAAAAATTAAAAGGATTGAGGCTCTAGTTGGTAAGGTAAATGGTGGGTCCACACGTGTTCATTTTTTTAGCATGCATTGTAAGTTATATACAATGCAAATATTCTTTTGGTAGCTGGCCGGGACTCAAACCCTTGTTCTTAGTGTGATAACACCACGCTCTTACCAACTGAGTTAACCAGACAGCCTAAATTTTTAGCATACTATAAATATGAGGGTACTTTAAAAAATTGGTGGAAAAATAAAATTAAAAGATAACACAAATCTTTCCATAAACTTTTAAGTACCCATAAATATAAAAATAAATAAATAAATATATCAAAAGGATTAAAGTCCTAATCTTAGGAACTATATATCCTTCAACATATCTTTTGCCCATATGATCATGGACAGACCACTTCCTGAAAAAAAGTCTTTAACTCAGTGCCTATCATAATCTTTGTGATTTTGATAACCTCTACATTTGATATTTAGAGATTTCTAGCCCTCTCCAAATGCAATATCACAATTTCTAAAATTAATCTGATTTTTATATACTTGTGAAAATATCTCAATACCCTTTAAGATAAAAGGAGACACTCAGAGTGATAAAATTAGGGTAGCAAGCACCACTGTAACCTAAATTTTAAAGAAACCAAGTACAGAAAGGTAATAATTTTATTTTATTTATTTATTTATTTTTAAAAGATGACCGGTAAGGGGATCTTAACCCTTGACTTGGTGTTGTCAGCACCACGCTCACCCAGTGAGCAACCGGCCATCCCTATATGGGATCCGAACCCGTGGCCTTGGTGTTATCAGCACCACACTCTCCCGAGTGAGCCACAGGCCAGTGCCTAATGGGATCTGAAGAGCTGGCATTTCACCTGGGTCTTGAAGATCAGGTGAATTTTATTTTATTTTATTTATTTATTTATTTTTTTAAAGATGACCGGTAAGGGGATCTTAACCCTTGACTTGGTGTTGTCAGCACCACGCTCACCCAGTGAGCAACCGGCCATCCCTATATGGGATCCGAACCCGTGGCCTTGGTGTTATCAGCACCACACTCTCCCGAGTGAGCCACGGGCCGGCCCAGAAAGGTAATAATTTTAGAACTCACTTCCCCAATAATCCAAAAAAGCCTCTTCCTAGTATTTATATACTATACACTTCAGTAAATTTATTTTAAACACACTCGTTTTATTCTTATTTAATCCTAATCACATAACTTCTTAAACTGAAGTCTATGAGTATTAAATGTGGTTAACAAGAAATAAATGCACATAGATATAAAAGTGAAGAAATTATGAGAATTTTTGGAGAGGGCTTCTTAATAACAGATTATAAATATGGAATACCTGCATGATGAAATGCTACTCCCCATGGTACAGTTTTTTGTAGCACAGAGTCCAATCCTGAAGGCAAATATTTTAACTGATCCATCACTTCCAGGAGGCCCTTTTGTTCCAGCATTACTGGTAGAAATTTAAATGGTTTCACCAATCCTGTCACAAAAGAAATTTATCAACACCCTTCACTTCTGGCTGGATCTCTTTAAGTGCTATCTGCCTAAGTCATGGTAGAACTAAATACCCAGCCAATGGTCAGAAACTACTGCATACTATAATCACCTGGAGATAGTTTAAAAATACCCATGCCCAGCACTCACCTCTAGACAATGCAATGTAACAAGTACGGAGTGCGAACTGGACATGAAGAATTTTTACATCTTCCCAGGAGGTTATAATGTGCACCAAAGCTTAGGAAACACACACATTTGCTAAAAACTCATCTAACCACACATTTAAAATGGGTACATCTTCTTACATATAAATTATAACTCAATAAAGCTGATTTAAAAATATGTGTGTGTGTATATATACATGGGTGTGTGTATATATGTATATGCACACACACATACGTGTATAAAATATGTGTGTGTGTATATATACATGGGTGTGTGTATATATGTATATGCACACACACATACGTGTATATGCATGTATGATTATTTTTAGAGTAACACATTCCTTTGGAAATATAAAGAAAGATACAGCCACTTTCCCCAGAAAAATGCGCACATGTGAAACTCTGCATACAATTTAGGGGCTCCAAAGATTAATCTCTCAAAGCTCTTGGATCCCAGATGAAGAACCTTAGTATATACCTATATAAACCCAGTATTCTAAAAATCTGAAGATGATTAGCTGGAGTGTGTGTACACATTGTCTACAATGAGGATAGGAGAGGATGACAACCACAAAAGCATAGTTTTATAAAGAGAGTGTCTAGCAGGCAGGCAGTGGCAATGATGAATGAGATCCATGCTTTGCAAATATAATCACTAACATTACTTTCAAGCAAATGAACTAAGTATGGAGGCTTTCATTTCCATCCATAACTCACCCTCAGCTTGATGGTATACATTATAAAACTCTCGGGCAATGATATCTGCCAGCTTCTCACACCATTTCTTTGATGGACAAAAAAGTAATACTGAATGGTTATCAAGAATGGTCTCATAACATAAACTAACAATATGGTCCTCATCTCCCTAAAACAAAAAAGAGAGAGAAATAGCCATTCTAGTGGTACTTTCAGAACATTTTCACATCAGTTTAAAAATTACTCATTTTGCTTCATCTGAAAGGTTTTTCTACTCAAAGACATAATAAAAATGAGTTACAAAGTCAGTAACAAAATAAAGAAAAAACAAAACAAGAAGAAAAAATAAACCTCCTTATGATGCAAGGAAAGAAGGAAATATTTTCTATTTGTTCAAGTAACATTTATTATGCTCCAACCCCCAGTAATGGGAATACAATGGTGAGCAAAAAACTCAACGTTCTAATATTCAAGGAGTTTACAGTCTCAATGAGAGAACTAAACAAATAAATGCAAAATACAACCATATGAGGTACTATAAAAGAGGGTTTTATAGTATTTTGAGGCCTCATATTTGACAGAAATTTGACAGAAAGTTCTAAAAGAAAGGTGGGGGCCGGCCTGTAGCTTACGTGGGAGAGTGCAGTGCTGATAACACCAAGGCCACAGGTTCGGATCCCTATGTAGGGATGGCCCGTGGCTCGCTTGGGAGAGCATGGTGCTGACAACACCAAGTCAAGGGTTAAGATCCCCTTACTGGTCATCTTTTAAAATATATATACAAATAAATAAAATAAAGGTTGCTCTGAGAAAATGATTAAGGTGAGACGTGAAGGAGGGGAGGCGTTATTTCAATGAAAGGCAACACCTTTCATGCAAAACAAAGAGCATGTGTAAATGCCCTGTGGTGGCTCCACAAGTTCTCCAGACTGGAAGAATGTCACTGCGTGTAACTGGGTTAATTCATCCATCCACCTTTCACTCATTAAACGAATATTTACTATGTGCCAGATATTGTTCTAGGCACTGCAGATGGTGCAGAGAAGAAAGCAGGGAAAAAAGCTCTGCCCTCATAGTATCTCTTAATTCCAGTAGGAAGAGATAGATAATAAAAACAAGATAAGTAAAACATGCTCAATTTTTTTTTTTTTTTTAAAAAGATGACCGGTAAAGGGATCTTAACCCTTGACTTGGTGTTATCAGTACCACGCTCTCCCAAGTGAGCTAACCGGCCATCCTTATATGGGATCCGAACCCGTGGCCTTGGTGTTATCAGCACCGCACTCTCCCGAGTGAGCCACGGGCCGGCCCCACACATGCTCAATTTTTAAATGTGCCAAGGAGAAAAATAAAACAGGGAAAAGAAACAGGGACCACAGATGGGAGTACTCTGTAATTTAGATAAGGTGGCTGGGGAAGGTCTAAGAAAGTAACATTTCAGTAAAAGTCCAAAAGAGAAAGAGTAAACCACACTGATGCAAAACAGGAAAGCATTCCATAGAGAACTGAGGTTGGAGATTCTTGGCACATTAATGGACAGCAAAAAGCCAGTGTGAAGGAAGTGAGAGGTAATGTTGTAGATGAGGTCAGAGCATTAAGGGATGGGGGCAGACCCCTAACCTTGTAGGCTACTATGAAGACACTAGCTTTTATTCTAAATGAAACAGAGTCATTGCGAGCTTTAAGCAAAAGTGTCACATGATCTGATGTTTGTTGCAAACAGATCACTACCTCCTAATTTAAGCATAGACTGACAGAGATAAAGTTAGAAGCAGAGAGGACAATTAAGAGGCTATTTCAATAATCCAGAGAAGAAAAAAAAGTGGTTCTAATAGGATAGAGGCATAGACATGGTAACAGAAGAAAGAGATTAACAGGAGAGTAAATGAATGTGTTAACATATACATTTATTAAGGTAACCAAGGTATAGCCAGGTGAAATTTGGGCTACAGAACAAAGCCCCTGAGTAAGATTCCATACTAAGCACGCAGAGGCTACAAATGCATAGCTATGAAGATACTGAGACAAATAAATGTAGTACTATTCCCAACCGTAAAATGACCCTTAGCTGTTTTAGTATTCAGAGGGACAGTTCTGCATAAAAAATAGGAGATGCCTCACTCCACAGATATACATGAGTCTGTTCTTTAACTTTAGGAATCTGGCTTAGAAAATAAACTACTATCAACCAAAACTAAAGTGCATTGGGGCATGTATGGAAGGGTACTTACATGCTAGACAATTTTTTAAAATCATATTTCATTCTTACAATAACACTAAAGTATTATATCTTATTTTACAGATGAAGATACTAGGTTCAGAGAGGTTTTGTGATTCAACTTATATCACAGCTATACCAAATATCCCTATCAGAGGTAAGTCTGTCTGACTCCAAGAATGATATTCTTTCCACTCTACTATATACCTACCATTTAACAAAAGGTTAATTTTCCACATTAGTGTATTTAGTCCATTTCTGTTGCTTATAACAAAATACACAGAACTGGGTATTTTATAAAGAAAAGAAAATGTATCATTTACAGTTTTGGAGGCTGGGAAGTGCACAGTGCAGGGAACACATCTGGTGAGGATCCTGGTGGTGGCGACAGTGACACAGAGGTCTTACATGGCAGTAAATGGTGGAGCAGAGAGAGTAACCTCTCATGTGCTCTTCTTTTAAAGGCCTCAGAACCACTCCCCTGACCACCATTATTAAATCTATTCACCCCAGCACAGTCCTACAATCTAATCACCTCTTCAAGGCCCCTCCTTTCAATTACCAAAATAGGATTTCCAACCCACTCAACAGTCACAGTGGGGGCCAAGTTTCTAATACATAAAACTTGGGGGACACAATTCAAGCTTCCATGAGCTGGGGAGGACAGTCAATCCACAGCATTAGTATTTAGTGTAAACTAAATCATGAGAAAATCTTTTCTACTTAAAAAGAAAAATCCACAAAATTAGATTTTCTAAATGTTCATACAGTATTACATATTCAGGGAATGATGACCTTTTACAGGAACAACTGCATTTCCTCTCTCACCCTCCAATTCTTTAAGATGACACCAATCAGCTTAACAGTAATTTTGATGGATATATAATACATATTCAACTATTTTGCAACCCCTAACCATATAATTCAAAAATTGTTAACAACTTGCTAGAAAATGCAATTAAGCACAAAGATACTGGTAGTAGTGATGTAAAAGCATTGATTTACTTTCACTTGTAGCATGGGTTGGAATTCCCTCATAAGCTTCATTGAAGAATCATATATGGAATTTCCAATTTTTATTGACTCCAAGAGTGGTACGGGACGAAAGTCAGTATAGTAGAGTTCAGCATTCAACCAGGAAGCCACAAGTTCCAAATTAGGAAGAGTAGCACTCATGCCAACAATCTGCACAGCATTACACAGAGGACTGACTAAATCTGCCTGGCTGTAAAAGGCAAATGAAAATGTTAAAAGATACATAGTAAATTAACAAGTAGTGCTGCTAACAATATTCTCGGTCATGTCCTTTGGTACACACATGCATACATTTCTTTAGGGTATATATCTAGGAATAAAATTACTGTATCATAGATTACTGTGCCACAGATTATCTCCAATTTTAATACATAATGCCAAAACACTTCCCAAAGAGACTGTACCAAAAGTAACATCCCCACAATCCGTGTGTGTTCCATTGTTTCACTATCTTGTCAACACTTGGTATCTTTTTAATGTTAATCATTATACAGTGTACAGTAATCTCTTTGAAGAGGTAATTCACATCTTCTTGATTACTAATGAGATTGAGCAACATTCACGTTTTCAGACCATTTGGAAATCCTCTTGCAAATGCCTGTTCAAGTCCCTTGCCCACTGATATATTTGGTTATCTGTGTTTTTCTTTTTGATTTTCTATAATTTTTGTAATGTTCTGGATAATGACTTTCCTCTTTCATTCATTTCTGCTCTTGTTTTTACCATTTCTTTCCTTCTACTTTCTATGGCATTACTTTACTATTCTAAGTTCTTGAGATGGATAATCACTGATTTTCAGTCTCTCTTCTTTAATAACACATACATTTTATGCTATCAACTTCTCTTCAAAAAAAACTTGAGCTGCATTTCACAAGCTCTGGTAGGAGATATTTTTATTATACTTTCAGTTCAAACTACTTTCTAATTTCTTTTGTGATTACTTTTTTGACCCAAAAAACAGGTTAAAAAGGTATTTCTTAATTTCCAAACATGGGCATTTTCTAATTGTGCTGTTCTTATATTGTAGTTATTTCTAGCTTAATTCCACTATTGTCAGAGAATTACTTTAAGTGATTTCAGTCTTTAAAAATTGTTAAGACTTGCTTTATGGCCTGCATATGGTAAGTTTTTTTATAAATGTTCCATGTGTAATTGAAAAACACATGTATTCTGCTGTTATTTGGTAACTGTTCTTCATACATCCATTAGGTCAAATTTGCTGACTAAGATATGATTAGTCATATCTTCTATATCCCTACTGATTTGGGATATTGATGGTTATCTGCATGTTCTATCACATACTGAGAAAAATGTGTTAAAGTCTCCCTAAACTGGAAAGAACACATTCTGCATGAAAACAGACCAACACCAAGACACATTAGTATGACATTTCACAACACTAAGGAAAAAGAGGCAGTCTTACAAACTCCTAGAGAGAATTTTTAAAAATCTATACAAAGGATGAAGGATCAGCATGGCATTGCATTTCTCAACAGTAAGGAGAAAATGAAGTAATGCTTTGACAGCTTTGAAAAAAAAGTATTTCCAATCCTGATTTTCACACCTGGAAATAACTATAAGGCATTTTCAGACATACAAGTTCTCCAAAACTTTATATCCATATTAGTGTGTACACTGAAATAAAGTGAAGCTTCCTGGGAGATAGTCCCAACAAAATGAGAAAGTAAATCAAGAGAAAGACATATAATCCAAAAAAAGGGACTCTGACTCAAGTAACGGGCAATAGAAAATGACAATGGGAGATCCCAAGCTGACTTCTGTGCAACACACATATAGATTAACCCCTTTCCAAATTGGAATAACTCAGAAGGCTTTAGGAGAAACTTCCTCAAGAAGATGACTTTGAAGGCCGGCCCGTGGCTCACTCGGTAGGTAGAGTGTGGTGCTGATAACACCAAGGCCACGGGTTCAGATCCTATATAGGGATGGCCGGTTTGCTCACTGGCTGAGCGTGGTGCTGACAACACCAAGCCAAGGGTTGAGATCCCCTTACCGGTCATCTTCTAAAAAAAAAAAAGGCAGAGTGGAGATACAAAAAAGAGGTCCTGGCTGAGTAGGCCAGTAGCTTTTTGCGGACTAGAAGTTATATATGTACCCTGTTTGAGACTTTCACAAGCCACCTGTCCCTGTTTTTGCCTCTGCTGGGAAGTCTTACTCTGCCACCTATGGACTGTAACCTCTCAAGTATTAACTGGGCAGAACTCAGCAAGCCAGAATTCCTCTTTCGCATAATGGGCGAAACCAATCAGGACTGAACAAGCTTGAATCCCTCATTTGCCTAGAGGGCCTAGTGGGATCATGGACAGGACCTTTTGCTTCATAAGACAATCCCTCTCTTTGTTCTGGCAGTACACACTTTCATTTTGTACTGAAGACAGTGTCTTCCAGGTTTGCAAACTGTTTGCCAAATAAAGTCCCTCTTCATTTCCAAATGTCTTTTCAGTGAAATTTTGTTAGACCTATACTTTTCATTGTTTGTGCCAGTTCAAGTCTTTCTATCTTAAATATAATGCAAACCAAATGTGTACTGTCCCATTCCCATGCTACAAACTTTGGAAAACAAATTATTTTGTACCTACCTGCCCATTTAGCTTTACAGTTTATGTCCTGCTAAGAATGGAAGTTTAGTAAGAATAGGAGACAGCATATTATTTTGGAAGTGGTCCGGTACGGGCGCGACACTGAGGGTTGCGATCCATTGCCGGTCACAAAAAAAAGACAGAAAAAAAAGGAAAAAAAAAAAAATAACGATTAGCTTACTCAGGGCCAACCAAACCCAGGGAAAACTGCCTCTCATTACTTGGACACTTCTAAATTGGCAACCTTGTAGAAATAATTGTATAATATCATATCAAGACATCTACTTTAATTATTCAGTTTATAGACTCTTTTGTGGGAAAACAACCATACTCATACTCTTAAGAGAGCTGCTTAGAAAAAACAGATCAAGGGCCGGCCTGTGGCTCACTCGGGAGAGTGTGGTGCTGATAACACCAAGGCCACAGGTTCGGATCCCATATAGGGATGGCAGGTTCACTCACTGGGTGAGCGTGGTGCTGACAACACCAAGACAAGGGTTAAGATCCTCTTACCAGTCATCTTTTAAAAAAAAGAAAGAAAGAAAAAACAGATCAAGAAGAAAGAGATAATTTTTTTTTTTTTTTTAAGATGACCGGTAAGGGGATCTTAACCCTCGACTTGGTGTTGTCAGCACCATGCTCAGCCAGTGAGCCAACCAGCCATCCGTATATGGGATCCGAACCTGGGGCCTCGGTGTTATCAGCACCACACTCTCCCGAGTGAGCCACGGGCCGGCCCAGAAAGAGATAATGTTAAGGGAGGTTTTGGTTTAATTTTGGTAGGTTGGTGAGTCATCCTACTGCAAAACATAAATACGACCATGATGCCCTGCTCCACTACTTGGAGAACTGAACTAGTCTATGTACTTAGAATAATGCTCAAGAATTACTGAAAATTTAGTATCTTCTTTAGTTGAACATTTCTTTTTCTTTTTTTTTTTTTTTTTTTGTGACCGGTAAGGGGATCGTAACCCTTGGTTTGGTGTCCGCACCGTGCTCAGCCAGTGAGTGCACCGGCCATCCCTATACAGGATCCGAACCCGCGGCTTCGGCGCTCCCAGCGCCGCTGCGCTCCCAGCGCCGCACTCACCCGAGTGAGCCACGGGGTCGGCCCTTAGTTGAACATTTCATAAGATCATAGTGTCCACATGCACTGGTGTCCCCCCACAAATCCTCCCCATTAAAATCAAGACCTTTCAGATGACTTCCTAATGACACATGATGGTTCTTTTCCTTATCAGTAAGCTATCTCCAAATGCTTATTAGTTATGTCAGCATTCATTCATTCATACAAAAATATTTATTCTACCTACAGAGTGCCAGGCACTGTGCTAGGTACAGTGGATATAACACTTAAAAAGATTCTATTGCAGGGCCGACCGGTGGCGCACTCGGGAGAGTACGGCGCTGGGAGCGCAGTAGCGCTCCTGCCCCGGGTTCGGATCCTATATAGGACTGGCCGGTGCGCTCACTGGCTGAGTGCGGTGCGGACGTACAGGTCATTAAAAAAAAAGATTCTATTGCAAACCCCAAGATATTTAAAGTCCAATGGGATCACAAGTATGACAATTCTGATACAAATTGACAAATGTGATTTCTCTCTTCAAGCTTTATTGAGCCCATGTCTTACTAATCTTTGATTCCCACCCCCACCCCTACCCTACCACTACTGTACCATGATATTTTTAAGTTCACCAGGTTCTCAATGAGTAGCTACCTGATGTTCTTCTGCTTCTGCTGCTGCCACCTACCTCTACATAGCAGCCTTTCCCTAGCAGTAAAAAATGCATTAAAGTAGAAAAATCTCTCCAGAGTCTCAAGTTCAAATACAGTGTCAGTTTCTCTAGCTCCCTACCTTCTCCCTGCTAAATGACAGCTTCCCCTCGCTACATGACAGCATCTGGGTTCAAGCCTAATCTAGACATCACAGCACCAGAATATGATAATGAATGCACATATACACTTATTGCAGAGATGGCAGATTCAGCCCCAGCATGCTTCCTTCTGTTCTTGATAAAGTTAGGCAGGAAAGGAGCAATGAGAAATAACTGAGGGCTCAAGGATATCCTCTATGTTTTGTAAAGTACAAAAATGCATGGTAGTAAAGTCAATAACAACAGCAGGACAAAAAACATACACTTTTTTTTTACAAACAACATTACAGATGCCAATGCTTGCCTCCAGAAGTAGATGACAGACAATAGAAAACAATATAGAACACAAAGAAATCACAACAGCTCCACTCCATTCCATCAAAAATAGCAATAAAAAATATTTGCCTGTTTTCTAATTTTCTTACCTAACAGATCCATCTTTTTTTCCTCTATCAGGCGATTGATCAGACCATTGGCTCTCTCAATTGTGCAAACAGCAATATCCAAGGAAGAGAAACGCCCTGCTGGAGAAGTACTGCCCATATAACCATCTACTTTAATTCCTACTTCCTGAAACAGATTCTATATTGAGTAAAAAGGAACAATACAGGTGAAAAAATTTGAAATTCATGAATTATAGACTGGTTCTATCTCAGAACATAGATATAAGTATCTACAAACATTTATCAGATTACTATTAGTTGTTACTGGCCAAGACACACTAGTTCTTTTTAGAATCACATACTAACATGAAGTTTAGAACTGGCAATACTTGGTACAGAGATTTCTGTTAAGACATAGTCAAATAAAATTAAGTATGCCATTTTAATAGCAGTATTTAACAACCAAATAAGTTCTAAGAGCTATGTATAGAAGTTAAAATTGGAGAAAAACTACCTTAAGCATTAATATTTTTAATCTAACAGCAAGAAACTAGATATTTTTATAACTCTAATATAACATTTTAAGAAACAAACTAATCCTTCATGAGGAAAATAATCTCATTATCCCACTAAAAAATAGTTTTTTTATGTAATGCAAGAAAAGTTTTTAAAAGTCACATTCAGTGGGACTTTAATATAAATTTTTTTTAGTTTAACTTTTAACTAACATACCTTCTCAACAAAAAGGATCCTTTCATCATTTTGTTACTTTGGGTCTAAGTTGAGAGGATGTTACCATGTAGGACCAGCTTTGTTGGCTATTTGGCCTCTGAAATAACTGTTAAAAAGATTTATAGAACCATAAAACTTTACAGTTGTTCATCCAATAAAATTTTTCTGAGTGTTTAATAAGTTAACCCATACTGCTAAGGGTTAACATCCTCATTTTACAAATAATAAAACTGAGGCCCAGCAAGTTATGTGCCTGGCCTGGAGACACAGTTAATGGCAAAACTGGGATTAGAACCCAGACTATTTGGACTTTCAGTACCATTGAGATAGGAGGTGCTCAGTTTCCCTGGGTTCAAGTCTCAGGACACACCTCTGGGTTTCAAGCCACAACCCAAGGTCTCAGGCCCCTTCCTTAGGCTCCCCCCTAGAGGAAAGTAACTGTTGCTAATTAGACCTATTTTTGGCATCAACATAGGGAAAAGGAGACCACAAGGGGCTGACTTATGAAAAAAATCCAGTGTCTGGGCATGCTCAGTAGAGAGCGGTTATATAACCCTGGTAGCCGACCATGCTCAGTTAAGTGGAGTTTATCCCTTAAATGACCTTCCATTAGAGGTGCTAAAGAGCACAGAATATTCCTGAATATGTCTGGAGCGTGTGATAGGATTTGACCAATGAACATGCTCCAAAGAGATCAACTGAGCATGTGCAAGACTATGCTACATATATGAGAACCACATCCTTAATAGAATATTCATTAGATAGTATGAATATGTATTAGATACCAAAAGTATAAAAGCTGAATCCCAGCAGAAGGCAAGGTTATTGTTCATTTTCCTGGGGCCAACCCATACTTTGTATGCTTGACTTTTGTGTTAAGCTTACTTTTAGCAGGTGGCTGCTCACACTCTTGAGCCAGCCTGCACTCTGTACTAAACTTTAAGTATGTATTCATTACTTTTATATTAAACTTGGCTGTGGGCCCTGCTCAGTCTCTGGAGCTAAGCTGTACTCTCTGTGGAACATGTATTTCTTATCTGTTACATTAAACTTGTTCTCACTTTCTACTGTGACACTGGTCTTAAATTCTTTCCTGTTGCAGAGTTAAGAACCTGGTAAGACAACGGGTTGGCTGAGGTCCAATAGCAGGCCCCCCCAGACCCTCTTGCCTGGATTTTTCCATTCCAACAGCACATTTTTCACTGCAAAAATCACAATAGTAAATTTATTCTATTTAATGAAACACTGTATATGTGAAAATGCTTTAAAAATTAGCAACTATCATATCAATGTAAACTACTATCATTCACTCTTTCCTTTCCATGCTGCACTCTAGTTGTAGTATTATTGAGTTAAAATGCTGGTTCTTAATTTGCACATTTATATGATTAGTTGAAGTATTCTGTTTACTTCCTAAGAAAAGCTTACAAATTTTTTACACAATTTTCAACAATTACTCTTTTGATTTGATGGCCCTTTCCCTTTCTCCTTTATGCAATAAATTTTTTTTAAAGTTTCCCTCTATACGCGGTCAACTTTTAAAGGTACATGGTATGCTATAAAAGAAACTCTGTCTGCCACTTGCTTTCATAATTCTATTTCAAGTGAATAAAGCCAAGGCTGTCAATAATGGAGCCTTCATTATTTCAAACTTAGTACAAGAACCTTACCTGGAGATAGTATTTCTTCTCTTTTGCCACAGAAACAAAGGGAAGAATAAACAAAGCTTTCTTATGCATTTCCAAAACCCTCTTCAGAATAAGTAATTCCGCAACAAGAGTCTTCCCAGCACTTGTAGGAGCTAAAACATGATTATTCCAGAAGGTTATATCATAATATTTGTTACTTCATAAATATTATGAAGTAATATTTGTTACACTGTATTAATAGATGTTTTAAGCCATATCCATAGCCATAAGTACTATAGAGCCTAAGGCTAACCTACATTAAGGCCCCAAGTGGCATTTGAAACATCTGTTTCTGAAATGCCCCTGACTTTAAACCACCTGTCTAAATAGTCTCACACTGAAAATAGAGAATAAACAAATCTTTGTACCAACAATAAATGATGAATATTATTGTGTACCTAGCTTATAACTAAAGAGCCTTTCCTTTAAGTTCCAAGTGGTTAAAAGCCCCGTTTCAAGGAAGATGAACAACTTTAATATATTGTGATAGAAACCATGATAGAAATTGAGGAGCTGTAAGGAAGCTTATAGAAAGGAAACAGGACTTCTGAGAAGCGAGGGAAGAAGAAAAGGGAATGCCAAGCATAAGAAACAGTATGTGCAGGGCTGGCAGGTTAGCTCAGTTGCTTAGAGCATGGTGTTATAAAACCTCTGTCAAGGGTTCAGATCCCCATACCAGCCAAATGCCAAAAAAAAAAGGAAAAGAAAAACAGCCTGTGCAAAGGCCTGCAGGAAAGCCTGGAATGTTCAGATGACAGTAAGCAATTTAATAGGCCTGGAGTATGAAGTACTCCAGGGGAATGAAAGAAGAGATAAGAAAGTGTCACATGAAGAGGGGCTTATAATCCCACCAGGTAAGGAGGTGACACTTTATCCTGAAAGCAATGCAGAGTGACTGCATTTACATTTACAGAAAAGTGACAAGATCAAATGTACTTGAAAATAATCACTTTGGCTGCAGGAGCAGGGCAAGACCAAAAGAAAAAGACACACTACTTAGAAAGCTATTGCACAATCTAGAAGAAGGATGATAGTGAGCTGTAAGACATAATAAACCTAAGAACAGAAAGTAGTCAGAATCAAGAGCTATTTGAGGCAATAGACACTGGTCTTGGTGACTGACTGCCTGAATTGGTGCCACCTAACTTTTGGTTTAAGCAATTGACATGCTCTTTCAGTTAGTGGCCATTCTACCATTGCCGCTAACTGCCACTAGTTAGCATTTACAAGTATTTTCTATGTGCCAAAAGCCCTTCTAAGCTCTTATACATATGAAATAATTTTATCCTCTTTAAGTACTACCAAGTCTGGGCCGGCCCGTGGCTCACTCGGTAGAGTGCGGTGCTAATAGCACCAAGGCCCCGGGTTCGGATCCCACATAGGGATGGCCGGTTCGCTCACTGGCTGAGCGTGGTGCTGACAACGCCAAGTCAAGGGTTAAGATCCCCTTACTGGTCATCTTTTAAAAAAAAAAAGAAATCTCTCACCCAGCCCTTCCCCCTTCCCAGGCGCTAGAACTCACTGCTTTTGGGGACCACTCCTCTCCACATGGGCCCAGCCTGGTGGATCTCAGGCCAGCAAGTCCTGGTGGAGCCGGGACTCCTGATGCCGTGCGTGGTGTCCTGTTGGGGACTGGTCTCCAGGGAGGTGGTGACAGGGGGCTCCGAGGAGGTGGTGACGGGTGGGTCTGGGGAGGTCGTGACAGGGGGCTCCGGGGAGGTCTGCCTGGGCAGGACTGGAAACAGTGGTCATTTTTTTCTCCCTGATATGCTAATTTAAAAGGCTGCACAGCCAGTAAGTGATACAGTTCTCAAACCCAACCAGTCTAACTCCACAACCTGAATTTATATATACTGTTAAGCTATTCTCTAATTCTTTTTTGCAGCCATAATTAAAGTCTATATGACTCAATTTCAGAAAAAACTGACACAAAGGAATTTCATCTTAGCAAGTTATTAATTCCAAAGTCAGTGTAGTAAACAGGTTAAAAATTGTGTTTGTCAAAGCTGCCCTTCAAGACGCACAAAAATCTTCTATAAAGTATATTACATATGGTTTTGTCTATACAACCCTGTACAAGCAGGTCAATTTCTAAACATAATATATAATGTTTGGTCCTTGAAGAGTAAGTGAGAGCAAATGGAGGAAGAGCAGATTCACGTCTCCCATCACACACTCACTCTGGGACATACATTTGTTGAGCAAAACGGCAGGAAGAAGTGTTCACTCTTTAAAATGTAATTTTTTGTGCCATTCCCTTCCCCCACTCCCCGTCATATAATGGGACTTTCATAATTAAAATATGCATCTAATGAAATTCCACTTTTCACATATATTTTAAGACTTTCTCTAGTCATAAAGCACTGTCTCATCCACCTTTTAAGAAAACATAACTACCTCAATACAGTATCCTTTTCCCTCATAATACCTTAAAAATAGCAAAGAAATTATTTTGCATAAATTTGAATACCTGAATAAACTAAATTCTTTCCTTCCAGGACTTTTCCAAGCAAAAGGCACTCTGCCTGCCACTCAAACATCTTTTTTACACCAAAACTGTGATATTTCTCCAGAACTGCTTTAGGAAGTCCCCAATTTGCCAACAGCAGCTTGTCTATTTGGTCGTCAGGAACTGTCTGCTTGCATTCCCCTTTCAGGAAAAAAAGAAAAAGTAATTAATAGTTTAATTTAGTCCTAATGTATGACTTCGGTGGCTAGCCCTCCACTGTGTGTTGAAAATCCTATGTGTTAGAGTAAAGCTATTTAAAAAGCACATCCTGACTTCGAGATGCTTATGAAAAATTGACTATGCATAGAAAGGTAATAGTAAATCGTGGTTTACTGGATATAATAATAATTTTTTTTAAATCCTTAAAAGCCCCAAACAAAAAATTGTTTGCAATTACACGCAATGGATAAGAAGTGTTGGAATTATGAGGGATCGGAGAGAAAGTGATAGATATGCAAGCACTGCAAAGCTAGATTAGGGAAATTTCTATAGTTTCTATGCGAGTTTTACTCCTATGACTACTATACAGCCAACGATAAAGAATTTAGTCAACATTCACGGGATACCCAACCACTCTGAGAAAACATTACCTAATCTATCCAGCCTTCCCCTGGACTCCAAACAGCCTGTGCCACACTCCCGACCGGCCAATCCTGTACGAGGATACGTAAGGAGTACTGGGAACTGTGAGGAACAAGCTCCCCTACAGGTGACGGGATTTGGCCAACTAGGAAGCTGTTTCTATGAAGGTCGAAAGACCCAGAAGCCACTTGAAGGTTAGTATCAGGCAGTCACTGAACATGGGTTGAAAGCATGCCTATGTCTGAACAGAAAGTGAACTGCCGCATCAGGCCCGAGTCACAGAGAAAGGCAGTAACAGCTCAGTGGGCTGTGCAAACAAGGACAACCCCGCGCAGTGAAGACACCTCCCAACAAGTGGCCCGAAGGCGCTGCCCACGCGCCCGCAGCCCCCAGGGTGCCTGAAGTACCTGCAGCTGAGGCCGACTGGCGGCAGCGGTCCTTCAGGCTGCGTCCCAGGCCCGGGGGCGGGCTGAGCACCGGCCCGGAGGGGAGCCGAGAGCTGTCACTGCTGTCGCCGCCGCTTCCCGAGAACGAGTCTGAGTCTGATACTGAGCGCCGCCGTTTCCCACCACGGTGAGGAAGATTCATTGCGAACCCTTCTAGAAGATTCAGGGGAAAGCACAGTCCCAGCACCCTCCTACTAGGCAGAGCCCAGGGCGGGTAAACTGTGTAGCCGCCATCTTCCCGCCACGGTCTTCAAATGCAGGCCGCCCAACCGCCCCGGAACCATAGAGTTCTAAGTGGCGAGAGTAACCTGAGAACCATAGAATCGTGGGGGAAGGAGCGGCTCTCGCCGCGGTCTCAGCCCTTCCGCTTCCTATCTCCGTTGTTGGTTAATGTGACAGGACCAGGGTTGGACCTACATTAAAGGAGGAAAAAGCCAGAATCTCCGTTTATAATCAGACCTAAAAAGTTGTCTTCTCTTTTTGTCCATTTCTGGCTTGAATAGGAAGGTTATGCTAACTTCATCAAATGAACTGCCTATAATAGATCAGAGAAGTAGTTCTTCTTGACATTTTTTTTTTTTTCATTATACAAGAAAACCTAGGATTTCTAATGGATCATATTTTCCCTTTCCTAGCTTATGATAGTAGGGCCGGGGCTATTTCTGTACACAATTTCTCTTTTAGCCGTCATACACCGCGAGGACTACGTGATGGGGAGATGGCGATTGCTGACCAACAGACTCCTTAGATAGCTGTATAGACGCTTCAAGAAGGGGCTCTGAAATGTGCCTCAGGGATCATGACGAGCCAAGAGCTTATTAATGGACTGTGCTGTGCCTTTTGGCAAAACAGAAGCAAAAGAGCTCTGGACTGTAAAGAGGTGCCCGTTAATTACCTAGTTGCACAATTCATTTCACCAAGCAAACCTAGTAGGCGACAGGCCTGCCCTGAAGAGGCTGTACTATTCTACAGCACTATAAGTCTCAAAAAAGCCAGTCCAATTTAAAAAACAAAACAAAAAACCTCTAATACAAGCCTGGGAAATAACACCTGAACATCAATTATCTTGTGGGGGAAAAAAAAAGATTTAAACGACAATATTCTGAAGTTCCACAAGATGGTGACATTACTCCATGAAGAACACATTTTCTTATCTCTTTTATGCATTCATTCGAGTATTTATTGAGCATCTACTGTATGCTAAGCACTGGGTATATGGCAGTGATATGGTGTGAAATAGCATGAAATGGTTCCTGTTCTCAAAGAGAAAGTCTAGAGGAGACAGACATTAAACAAATAATTGATAATTTTAAATTGAGCCTATGCTCAAGCAGAAATGAAGAGTGCTGGAAAGAAATAAAAACAATCCTAACTTAGACTGTAGTCATGGTAGAACTTTCTGAGATGCAGCATAACTTATGGTTAACAGTACAACTCTGGAGCCACCAGTCTAGGTTTGAAGACTAAATAGCTGTGTGATCTTGAGCAACTTGCTTAATCCCTCTGTGCCTCCTTTTCATCTATATGCTGGAGATAATAATAGTAACACCTATTTGGTTATTATGTGGAACGAGTAAGTCGATATGTGTAAAGTGCTTGGAGAAGTGCTGACACGTTAAGTACTATTTAGAGAAAGTGATATTTAAATGTTTAATTTTCTCCCGATATAAATCCAGCATTTTGATGGGAAAGAATAAACTAGTAAAATTTCTTCCAAAGTTATTCTATTTGTATTAGGTGAACTATGAGTAAATAAGGAAAATAATTCAGAAAGAATTGAAAGGAATGGTTTATGTCATCCTACTAAAAGCCTAGAAAAAAAATTTTTTTTTCCTTTTTTGTCTTTTTTCATGACCGGCAATGGATCGCAACCCTCAGTGTCACACCCGTACCGGACCTGGACCGGCCACGGGATCGCAACCCTCAGTGTTGCTCCCGCACCTCGCTCAGCCAGTGAGCGGGAACCGGCCTGCATGTGGGATCCGAACCCTCGGCGGGAGCGCCACCACGCTTCCCAAGCGGCGCACTACAGCAGTGCGCCACCGGGCCGGCCCCCTAGAAAATATTTTTAAATTACAATTTATTTTCTACTCCTAGAGGTTCTGACCTTATTAAGTTTGGGATGGAATCCCAGGCACTGATAGGTCTTAAAGTTTCCCCAGGTGTTCCTGATACACTGCTGGAGTTGAGAACCACTGGTTTAATCCATGTGATGAGACCAACTTGAATTCAGGTGGCTTCAGTCAGAAAGTTGTAATAAGGGAACCCTGAAAAAGATCTATTTCTTCACAATGACACAAAGAACCAGTAGAAATAGATTACACATTAATGGGGATGGAAGCTAAATTGAAATAACTTCAAAAGTCTAGGTTAAAACATTGGAAAGCCATGGGCTGGCTGGTTAGCTTGGTTAGAGCACAGCCAGAGAAGTAGTGGAACAACCTCCTCCTACTTGTTTGGGTGCTGGGGGTGGGCGGGAAGCCAGAACACACGTAAGCAAACACTCCAGGGCTGCCACCGAGGTCTTTAAAGGGACGTAGTTTTTAGGTTAGCCTTCATGGATTCTGAGGATTTCTCTAGATGTTACTTTTTTTTCTTTGATACCCTCAACCCTACCCTTTTTCTTATTTTGATAAAATCTTCCCCAAGTCAGCGGAAGCAAACAAGAAAAATGGGTGGGAGATTAGCTTATAGCCAGCTGCTTTGGGGTCAAGGATGCAGGATTAGGTAGGAGTGAATTTGTGGTCTTCTTTTTCCATTTCCCCATTGCCTCTACCTAATTCTCTCTCATTTTCACTTTATTTGCTTTTCTTTTTCTGTTTACATTTAATCACTATTAAACTAATATACTCTTATGCATAATACAAATGTAAAGTTTTATTTTTAATAAGCTCAGAATGCTCTGTGGCTAAGAAGAAACTTAAACTTACCTGTAGTTCTCATTTTAATAAAATGGCCATTAAACTGACCCATAGGTGTCCTTAAATGTGACTTTTGTTATATATTAGACAGTCTTTTGAGGATTGGTAAATAATTACTTTTCAGCATTCCATCTTATTTCTTCCTAAAGTGAGACAAATTTGTAAAGATCACATCTTCACTGCCCATATTGGTAGGCCTTCCTGGCATCAGAGAATTCAAACACATGCTGGGTTATAGTCAACAACAACCCTGATAGACAAGGATATACAGATCCCCTCTCTTATATTGCCTCACCTGCAAGGGCAAAGCAAAAGTGTTTCTCTTGTTCAACAATGTCACCAGTATTTCATTATCTGGCAGACTTAGAACCTGCAGGAAAATCTCTAGAGGATATGAGCAGGATTGGACGACTTTCCAAAGCTACAAGACGTATAGTTAGTTGTTACACTTCTTGCTGTGTAACAGAGACACAAAAGAAATTACTCAAAGCAAACATAAGTGCAATAAGAAGCCCGAAGGGACTGCACCTCAGCAACTCATCTGTTAGAAGGAGAAACTGGGTACAGCCCTGACTCCAAGTTAGACTGTTTTTATTGTTAAAACGAAGAAGTTTCACAAGAAAAAACAGCTGATTTAATCATTACTAAAAAAAAATACAGGCATAGGCTATGTGACAATTTTTACCCATGGCTGAGTATACCTTAAACAATAGAACATAATAACATCATTGAAGCTAACAGCATGACATTCTAAAATACAATTTGTGAAATGTTGGTTAGTTAAAATGTGATCATTATCTTTGACTTAAAATATAACCATTCTTGTGACATCTAAAATAAGCACTACTTTCCTACAATTCTATCTATAGGTAATTGATTTGGGAAAGTTTCCCCTATAGCCAACATTTCTTACAAAGTTTCCCTAAAATTCTTTGCAAAATCTTCCTACAAACTATGTTAACAATCAGCATTTAACCCAAACCGTAATTATTGTTGATAAAATGAGCTTTTGCCCCCTATAAGATTTTAGCTACACATCCTATCTAATAATGGAATGTTTTAAACCTCTACAGTTAGTAGACGTATAGTATAGGCAAAATGTTTCCTAGTCAACTTGAGAATCATATGGCTACCAACCTAGCAGGTGAGGCAGCTAAACTGCCCTGAACTCCTCCAGTTTGCCAAAGTAGAGGCAACATAGATAACTCCTGTGTTAAAAACAAGGACTCTACTCAGACGGCAGACTTAGGTTTGAACCCCAGAGCTACCATTTTCCACCTTAGGCAACATTATGTAACTTTTCAGCCCCAGTTCTATTTTGGGTTTTTTTTTCCCTAAAATTGAATTGATAAAAATGCCTATATTGGGCCGGCCCATGGCTCACTTGGGAGAGTGTGGTGCTGATAATACCAAGTCAAGGGTTAAGATCCCTTACCGGTCATCTTTTTAAAAAAATAAAAGCCTATATTACAGCTTGTGGTGAGAATTAAAATATATCACATATAAAGTGCTCAGTGTTAGGCTTGGCATGTAGCAAGCACTCAATAATTCATAAAACCATTAGTCTTCCTCTGGGGTATATTTATTTATTTATTTTTATTGAAACATAGTTGATTGTACACATCTGTGGGGTACAGAGTTGAACATCAATACCTCTGTGCAATAAGTGATACTCAAGTCAGGATAATTAGTATATTCAACATACAATGTAATTGTTTTGGGGGGCCCCTTATCAATTCTTCCCTTACCCCCCCCCACCTCTGTTCAGTAACCTCAGTTCTGTTCTCTTTTGAAAGCTCAATGAATTATTGTGATTGTTATATCTTTCTTTCTTTCTTTTTTTAGCTCCCGCTTATGAGTGAGGGCATGAAGTATTTCTCTTTTTTTGCCTGGCTTATTTCACTTAACATAATTTTCTCTAAGTCCATCCATGTTGCTGCAAATGGCTGAATTTTGTTCTTTTTTATGGCTGAGCAGTATTCCATTGTGTATATACACATTTTCCTTATCCAGTTGTCCATTGATGGGCATTTAGGTTGGTTCCAACTCTTGCCTATTGTAAACAGAACTGTGATAAGCACCGGCATGCAGGTATCCCTTCAACATAATGATTTCCTCTCCTTTGGGTATACACCCAGCACTGGAATTGCTGGATCATATGGCAGTTCTATCTGTAGTTGTTTGAGGAACCACCATGCTGTTTTCCATAATGGCTACACCA